GTCTCCCTTCACCCACTTTTCTGTTGTCTGTCCCCCAGGGAGGAGGTCACATATAGTTCCTTGTAATCGGTTCCCTCTTTCCAACCTATTCTCCCTCTACCCTCCCACTATCACCACTCATAATGGAAAGTATAAGAACCAGCTGTTACCAAGTTGTTTCCAACTCATGGCGACCCTAGTCTGTCAGAGATCACCGTGCTCAGTGGCTGATCTTTTGGAAGTAAATCTCCAGACTTTTCTTCCAAAGCTCAAATGATTAACCGTTTGATTTGCTGCTGAGCTATAAACCTTTTGCATTACCTAGAGATTCCAAAAAAGAGCACTGTTGGTGCTGTGGATTTGGCTTAGGGCTGTTAATAGCAGGGCCAGCAGTTTAAACCCACCCACCACACTGAAGGAGGAAAACGAGGCTGCCCCCATTAAAACTGACCATCTCAGATCCTGTGGAGCAGCCCTCTGCCTGACAGGGTCACTGGCATCAGTGTTGACTCAGTGGTGGTAGGAGAACTAGGTACTTTGGACACACAGGTAACTAAGCCTAATTCCTACCTATTTGGGGTTTAGATTCTATTGAGGGGAACAGACAACTTACCAGTGACAACAAATTACTCTCTAGTTCAGTGGTTCTCAACTTCCTAATACCGCGACCCTTTAATACAGTTCCTCATGTGGTGGTGACCTGCCCAACCATAAAATTATTTTCATTGCTACTTCATAACTAATTTTGCTGTTATGAATCGTAATGTAAATATCTGATATGCAGTGTGTACTTTCATTGTTACAAATTGAACATAAGGCATCGTGATTAATCACAAAAACAATATGTAATTACATTTTGTCACATTTATTTCTGATTACAATTATATGAAATGTCTTGGAGCATGGGTAACAGTCTTCACTCCGGGTACTCGTATGTGGACGTGTCTGCATGTGGGCGGACCCACCTGGGGATGATAGAGGAGCCGTGTCTCGGTTCCTAACCATCGGAAATATGTTTTCCAATGGTCTTAGGCGAACACTGTATAAGGGTCATTCGACACCCCTCCAGCCCCCGGCCCACAAAGGGTTGTGACCTACAGGTTGAAAAAATTTAAATTTAAATATTCATCTGAGTTTTCATCATTAATCTTACAGAGTCAATGAGAACTGCTTAGGGATATAAAAAACATGTCACCTAGTGTTAGGAGTAAAATATCAAGAGAAAACTCAAGGTTGGGATGACAAGGGTGCGTGTTGTCCCTTCGAATCCAATCCAACTCAGAGCCACCCTGTTCAACAGAAAGAAGCGCTGCCTTCTCCCATGCCGTCCTCACAATTTGTATGTGTGAGCTCGTCGAAGCAGCCACCATGTCAGTCCATCTTCTCTATGGGCTTCTTCATTTTCGCTGCCCCTCTGAGACCAAGCATGATGTCCTTCGGAAATGGTCTCTACTGACGACATGTCCAAAGTACTTGAGACAAAAACCTCACTGTCCTTGCCTCTCCAGAGCACTTGGCTGTACTTCCAGGACGGATTTGTTGGTTCTTTACTTTCATTATCCACCAGCACCATAATCCAAAGGCATCGATTCTTTGACCTTCCATGTTAGTTAATGTCCAGCTGTCACATGTATATCAGGCAATTGAAAATACCATGGCTTGGGTCAAGTGCATCTACTCCTAAAAATAACGTCCTTGCTTTTCAAGACTCTAAAGAGGTCTTACGCAGCAGATTTACCCAATGCAGTGCATCATTTGATCTCTTGGCTGGGGCGTCCATCAGCATTGATTGTAGATCCAAGCAAGATGGATCCTTGACAACTTCAACTTTTTCCTCCATGTACCATTTACCTGTTGGTTCGGTTGTGAGGATGTTGGTCTTCTTTCCGCTGCGTTGTACTCCATCCTGAAGGCTGCGGTCCTTGATCTTCATGAGCAAGAGCTTCAAGTCCTCCTCACTTTCTGAAAAGTAAGGTGGTGCCATCTGCATATTGCAGGTTGTTAATAAGTCTCCAATCCCAAGGACACATTTTTCTTCATATTATCCACCTTCTCTGATGATTTGCTCAGCATACAGATTGAATAAGTATGGTGAGAGGATGCAACCCTGACGAACACCTTTACTGATTTTAAACTGCAGCAGATAGCCTAGATTCATACTTTGTACATTCCAAGTTCTGGTTATTAAGTGATGCTTGTAGCTGTTTCTTCTCATTTGCAGTCATGCCCCACCAGCAATGAAGGTCCAGAAGCTTTACTTCCTCAGGCTTCCCCCCTCCATATGATGGCCAGCTCCACTTTGAGAAGGCAGCTGGTCCTCAGGCACAGTGAGTGCCTTCCTATCTGAGGCTCGTCGAGCACTGTCTCCAACAATGTTCTTCTCATGAGGTTTTCAGTATCTGATAATGTGTTGTTCGTTTGTATAAGGTTTTCTGTGCCTAATTCCGCAGAAGTGGACAACCTATGCCTTCTTTGTAGTCTGCTCTCACTCAAACCTGTGGTTACCCCACCGGCATTTGAAATATGATGCGTCTCAGGAACACACAGGCCACCGCAGTATGACAAACTAGTGGTGGTTAGATTTGGTAGAATAGTTAATATTTCCCGTGAATTGCTTTATACCAAGGGGTTCTGGTGGTATAATGGTTACTCTGGGCTGCGATCTGCAAGGCCAAGCAGTTAGAAACCACCAGCCGTTCCTCAGGAGAAAGATGGACTTTCTAGTCGTAAACAATTACAGTTTCAGAAACTCACAGGTGCAGTTCTGCCTTGTCCTAGAGGGTCCCTCCCAGTTGGCATCGCCTTGATGACAGTGTGTCTGAGTTACTTCCATATGTCAGATCCTTGTTCCAAACATGAATCTTTCAAGCTTTTAAATTTTTTTCCCACTCAATTGTTTTACCAAACCTGGTAGTGAAGAGGTATTGTCCTCCACACTCAACTGTGGAGGAAACAGGTCCAGAAAGTTACCCCAGGTCACATAGTAGAACTAGATATGAAACTGAGGCTTCTCGGTTCTAAATCTGTGCTTTTCACTCCTATATTATACTGGCAAACTGGAAAACACAATATGCCTGTAGTGCAGCAACATGAAAGGAGAGCTAATGTAATGGATGCCTGACAAAAGTTGAGTGGCACTGTGGTGCATGCCACTAACAAGATTGATTTGTTAAAAAAAAGAATGCTTGAACTGGGTGAAAAATGAATGATTCAGAAAACTGGCCTGAAACATGTTTTCATTGTTTACAAAATGAGGAAAGGAACAAGCAGTTTAATAGCTTGAGAAATTTACAGTTTCTTAGCTGCAATGAGCCTTCGATAACATCTAACCTCTGGAACACTCGTTCCAAACAAAAGGTTCATGAAGTAAAACATGGCCCTTGCTGCCCTCCCGGTGTGCACGGTACCCAGTCCTGAAGATGGAGTGCACTTTGGTAATGATAGGGACATTAAAGGTAGTATAGGATTTGCACAACAGTTTGAGGTCTTCCTTCACACCATTATTTAAACAAAAATATCTAAATATGAAGCTATTGTTTCTCAACAGACTCCATCTAGGTCAGGGTTTCCATTTCTCCATCCCTTCTCTGAAAAATTCTGAACCCCTCAGTTGACACTGCATTAAAATGACAGTTCTGATATCCTTCCAGGATTGTGTCCCTTTAAAAGCTCTTTGAATTGGAGCAGCAGCAGCCTGAAAGGGCAAGAGAGGACCGTAGTGTAGTGGGCGAATGGGGTAAGGTGTTCCAGTGAGACGCTTGGAGGAAAACCCTCCCTCCCCTTGAAGAATGGGCAAGTGCAGTGCTGTGATGGACAAAAATCTCCATGGTACAACTTTCTTGGCCTTTTTTTTTTCACAGTGCAATTTTTAATTTTCTTAAAAATTCTTCATATTAAGCCCCCATTGTCATCTTGTGTTCTTTGCGAAGAGTATACCCCACTGGAATCCCCCAAAATAGATGCAATAACCTTGTGAGCTGACCTCTCTGCCTTTAATTGAACAGCCGGAGATGACTAGGAGCCTTAGTGATATACTGGTTATGCATTGGACTGCAATCCCCAAGGTTCTCAGTTTGAACCCACCAGCTGCTTTTTCTGGGGAGAAAGAAGGGGCTTTCTACTATAAATGGTTACTGTCTTGGAAACTCAAAGGGCAGTTCTCCCCTGTCCCACAGGGTCTCTGAGTGGACATCAGTTTGATGGCAGTCAGTTTGAGCTTGACTAGACCTCTTGGAATAAGTCTTTTTTGAAGGCATCTTAATTAGACTGATAGAAGTGTATTACTGAGAACTTGTTTGCAGTCATCTACATTTTAGGATAAATGAATGTGCAGGAACATTTTGGCAGCAATGGTTGCAATGCTTTTTGACTTAACCCTTATGTATATATTATAGTTTGTCCATTCAGCCATTAGTGGACATGGCAGTTGTTTTCATCTTTTTATTATTGTAACTAATGAACATGGGTGTGCATGTGTCTATGTGTGTCACTGCTCTTATTGCTCTAGGGCAGTGGTTCTCAACCTTCTTAATGCCGTGACCCTTCAATACAGTTCCTCCTGTTGTGGTGACCCCCCCAACCATAAAATTATTTTCATTGATACTTCCTAAGTTTAATTTTGCTACTATTATGAATCGGGTGATCCCTGTGAAAGGGTTGTTCGACCCCAGTGGAGTCGTAACCCACAAGTTGAGAACCGCTGCTCTAGGGCGTATGCTGAGGATTGGGATGATAGAATTGCATATTTCTATTTCTATCCTCTAGTGTGGTTAGACCCCTCTGCAGCTCCCCTGACACACATGCACACAGTCTTGCCTACATTGTCATTCACTCGTGGACGTGGGTGTTTTTTTGTTGTTTTGTTTTGGTGGACTTCTGTTTGTTTTTGATCGCTGCCATTGTTGCTGTGGTGCAGTGGTGTCTCTGATAGTTTTGATTTGTATCTCAAAGAGGAAGACTCTGAACAAGCTAATGTGGCCCAGTGAACATAGTAGTGATGGTAAGGACGGTGCCAGCCAGGCAGTGTTTCATTCTGTTGTTCGTCTTTTCATGGGTTTTTTAACCACTGGAATGTTTTCTTTGAAAAAGTATCTTTGTGTTTCTCACTCATTTTTTAAAAATCCGTGTGGTAGTTACATAATCTGGTGTCGATTTGGGACTTGAGAGGATTAAGAGTGAAGGGGTGAGTCTAGTTCGTCAATCAGATCATAGCCAATGAGGCCTCTGTGTGGGCCTGGCCTGCTCCTGAGAATTCTGGGAACTCCTTTATTTCCTCCTTGGAGGCAGGAGATGCTCACTCTCTGGGACACATTGCAGCTGACAAGACACACACAACTATGCTAGTGCCCTGGATTGGAGAAGCCACAAGGACCTACCCTAATACAACCAGACCTGTGAAGCTGGAAAAGCTACATGGAGAACCTTGCTAGAGCTGAGATGCTTACATCGCCACAGGATCCAAAGACATTCTACCTACTGGCTTGTGATTGCCCTGCATTCGGCATCATTGCATGTGTTTCGTGAGTCTGAAGAGGACTTTATAGATTGGTATCGGACATATGGGCTAATATCAGACTTATGGGCTTGGACTGGACTGGGTTGGGATACTTTCTTAATGTACAATTACCCTTTATATAAAACTCTCTCCTGTACACATGAGTTTCTATGGATTTGTTTCTCTAGTCTACCTGGACTAACACAACTGAATTGTGTGTCTTTTTGTTGTTAAGGTATTAAAGTTTTCTATAAACTAAAGATTAGACCTTTGAAGAAAATTTTTTGCCAGTCAGTAGGCTCTCCTTTTACTCTTTTGGCAAAGCCTTTGGATGAGCATAGGTGTTTAATTTTTAGGTGATCTCAGTTATCTAATTTTTCTTCTGCTCTTTGAATATTAGATATGCTTGGTATTTATGCCATGTGCTAGGTCCTCAAGGGTTGTCCCTAATTTTTTCTTCCATAATCTTTATCGTTTTAGTTTTTACATTTGACTCTTTAATCCTTTTTGAGTTAGTTTTTGTGTATGGGGTGAGTTATGGGTCTTGTTTCCTTTTTCTGAAAATGGATATCCATCTTTGCCGGCACCATTTGCTGAACAGACTCTCTTGTCTATGTGATGAGCTTAGACCCTCTGTCAAAGACCAGCTGTCCAGGGTGGAGGGATTTGCTTCTGGGTTCCCGATTTTCTTCCACTGCTCGATGTGTCTGTCATTGTAACCAGTACCAGGTTGTTCTAATGACTGTGGCTCTTAATAGATTTTTAAGATCAGGAAGTGTGAGGCCTCTTGTTTTGTTCCTTTACAGTAATACTTTGCTTTGCCATGGTCTCTTTCTTTTCTTGTAAAATTAGTGAGTTTTTCCATCTCATTAAAGAATATTGTTAAAATTTGGATCAGGATTTCAGTGTATTTGTAGATCACTGTGGGTAGTATTGACATTTTCACAATGTTGTGTATATAAGTGAACATAGTATATTGTTCCATTTAAGGTGGTTTTTCTCCCCACTTTCTCATAGTAGTATTTTTAATGTTCTCTGCAAAAGTCTTTTATGTCCCTAGTTAGACTTATTCATAAGTATTTTATCTTGGGGTGGGGGGCTCTGACAAATGGCCTAGTTTTACTGATTTACTTTTCAGAGCACCCTTGTTTTGTTACTGGAGAGGAATCCACTTGATTGTGGTGTCCCACCCCATGTTGATCTTATGTCCAGACACTGCTCAAGTCTCTTATTGCTAGTAGCTTTCTTGTGGAATCTCGGGGGGTGTAATGTATAAGACCATGTCTTCTGCAAATAGCGATAGTTTTACTCTGTGGCTAATTTATGTGCCTTTCATTTTGTTGCTTTAATGATCTAGTTAAAGTATTAAGTAAACTATTGAAGTAAGAGTGTTTCGGGGTAGCCAGTCCCTAACAAATCATCACTGGCCTACAGGGCAGTTGTACAATGATAATATGTAAAGATTATAGTAAAGTCATAGAGAATAAGAGAGATAGAAGAGAAAATAAAATGAAGGGGTAAGACACATTTCATGGTAGCATGCTCACCTCAGCCCCACTTGGTGGTCCACATGGGGTGTGGAAGGTGGGAATGGCAGAGAGCCATTTATTTCTAACCAAGGCTTATGTATCTTTTGGGGGTGTGCAAGCCCCCTGATTACTGGTGAAGATATACATCAAAGGAAGGGCCTGTACTATAGGTAATACAGTAATGAGAGGCGGGAATCTTAGGGTATACATGCAATAGGAAGGGGAGGGATTGGGGGTATGCATGTGACAAGATGGGCAGATTCTAGATTCAGGAAGGAAGCCTAATTTTGGATGTCACTGAGCAGGTTTGACCTGTTCTAAGCTTTCCAGGGAACGATCTCTATCTTATCAATAGGGTGTGAGCCCCACCTACAGTGGACCAGACAGTAGTCTGATTTCTCTGGATGACTGCATGCCTTCAGGGAGAATATCCCTAAGCATCTGACCTCCCACCAGGTACTGGCAAATAGCCTCTTAGGTTTGGCATATCTTTGGGGGAGACAAAGCTGGGGGGTGGGGAGTGGTCTTGTTATATCCCTCAAGAGTGATGATAATGGATGTCCTTGTCTTGTTTCTGTTTCAAGGTGAATGCGATAGTCTCTCTTCCTTACGTATAATGTGGGCCATGGTTTTTTTATGCCTTTGGTTATGTTCAAGAACTTCCCTTCTGGGCCTGTCCTGTTTTGCTGTCAGTTTGTATCACATGCTGGATTAACCAAATGACTTTTCTGCATTGATTGAGATGATCATCTAGTCTTTATATTTATGTGGTGGATTATGTTGAAAGATTTTCTTTTGTTGAACCATCTTTGCATACCTTGTATGAAGCTCGCTTTTTTCCTTTTTAACAAAAATTGGGAATTAATACCTACATCCTATCATTCCATGGTTCAGTCACATCGAGCAGTATTGTACAATTGCGACCACAATCAGTTTCCAAACCCTTTCATTCCTGGACTCCTTGACACTGGCTCCCTTCTACCCCCTACCCCCTCCCTGCCCCCACCACTTCACTTAAAAAAATGTGTTTAATTTTATTGAGTGTTTTTGGTGTATGTGATGTTTGGTCCGGAGGGAATTGGTCTGTGTGATTCTTTTTCAGTGGTGCCTTTGGCTTCTTAGGAAAACGCCAGAATAGCTCTTCTTTTTCTGTTTTGGAATAATAGAAGTAGTATTGGTATCAACTGTTTTTGAATACTTACTAGAATCCCCAATAAAGCCATGTGGGCCAGGGCTTTTCTTAGTTCGGAGTTTTTTAATTACTTCTTCGTATTCTGTTTTTGTTATGATCAGGTTTTCTATCCTGGCCTTGTTTGCTTTAGTAGGTTGTGTGCTTCTAGACATTTGTTTTTCTTCTATGTTTTCAAATTTGTTGGAATCTAATTTTTCATAATAGTGGTATGATATCCATCTCATTTCTTCTTTGGGTTATTTGCATTTTTTTTTTGTCAACATGGTCAATGATTTGTTCATTTTATTGATCTTTTTAAAGAAAAGTTTTTATTCCAGCCTTGCTGGTGTTATTTTTTCCCCTTATTTTCTGACTTGTTTATTTCTGCTTTAATTTTAATTTTTATTTCTTCCCTTCTGGTGGCCCTGGACTTCTGTTGTTCTTGTTCTATTAGTTTGGGGTAGAAAAAAATTGGGATTTTTCCCCTTTTGATGTATGTATTTATTAATATAAATTTGACCTCTGAATACTGCCTTTGCTGTGTCTCAGGGCTTTAGGTATGCAGGGCTTTCATTCTTGTTTGATCTTAAGAATTTTTAAAAATCCATTTTTAGTTTGTCTATTACACAATGATTAATCTTGGTGAAATGTTTAAATCTTGGATCTACAATTCCGAACCTTATAATAAATTTTTGTTAGACTGATTAAATAAAAGTGGTACAATGTTCGTCCTAAATGTATCTTAATTGTAAATTCCTAGAACAGTAAGTATTTTGTTTGATTGCTACCTGGTGACATATTTCCTTAAAAATAGCTCTAGTGGTATTTTTACAAATGCTGGCTTCCTTAGTCCTCCTAGAACATTACAGTTGTTTCACAGACATGGTATTTTTATTAGACTCTCTGTGGTTGTACTCACTGCAGAGTTTGTCCAAACACTTGTCATCCTTGTGGCAGGCACTGCAAGTAGCTCCTCTTTTATATGGCCAGGTTGGGTAATTTCCTCTGTAAAGCAGAATGCTATCCATTAGGAGGTCCCCCTGGTCCCCATTCCAATTTACTGTGAATCCTTGCTAACCCAGAATTATGGTAGGGCGGAAATCTAAAGAGTCAGAAGATTGGTAAGAAGTAGAAATGGAAAATCGGTGTTTGCTCTGTGCACTAAGGCCTTAATCTGCATCAGTTTATTCAGTTCTTATGACTACCATGAGAAGAAGTTATTTTTATTTCTATTTCTACTTTACAGATAAAGTACGACTCTCTAAGAGTTTAAGTAACTTGTGATAGAATAATGTATATTCTATAAGAAACATTAAATAAGATATAACAGGCACCCTGGTGGCATAGTGGTTACTAGTTGAGCTGCTAACTACGAGGTCAGCAGTTTGAAACCATCAGCCATTCCTCAGGAGAAAGATGAGGCTTTCTACATTGGTAAAGAATTACAGTATCAGAAACCTACAGAGGCAGTTCTGCCTTGTCCTTTGGGGTCACTATGAGTCCCATCAGCTTCATGGCAGTAAGTTTTAACAGAGGTTATAATAATTTAGAAATAAGCTGATGAACATACATTCTTCTGAGATTATTTATATAGTAACTGGAATGTGATAGGAATATATTTATAGAGGTATAGATAACAGGTATTGCACACATAACTATGCAGTGTTGCCTTCATTCATGATGAAAGGAAATGCTATTTTCAATAGCGGTTAGTGAAAATAAAGATGGAGTATTTTTCTAATATAAGTTGAGGAGTTCTCTTGCCCCCAACACTCTACATTTAACTTCAAAGTTAAGAATGTCTTGTGAAAAAAAAAAAAGAATGTCTTGTGTAGAGGTATTACTTTATATTATTACTGCCTCATTTCCAACCCCAAGTATAATTAATTTAGGTTGTTTGAGAAATTAAATTTACTCTATGTTTCCCCTGCACTATGAAAAATAGTCAAAATAACATAATAGAGATTCTGACAGCAATTTCAAGAGATGAGTTCCAAGCCAACATTAATGATTATACTATCTTTTGCTAAGATGCATACTTATTAAGTGGTTTAAGTACTGCAAAGTTTCTTTTAAAAAATCATGCTACTTTCCCCTTTTAATTATTCACCCCAAAATGTGAGAGAGGAAATATTAAAATCGATCATTTAAAAACGAAGGCAGCTGTGAATGCCAAGGGAATAGCAGAATTCATCTTAGGAAACACATGTTCCTGACAAGGCCTGGATGTATAGATCTGGGCATAGTTCAGGCAAAACCAAATTTACTGCCATTGAGTGATTCCAAAGGATAGCCACCTCAGAGGGCAGAGTGGAGCTGTGCCGGAGGCTTTTCAAGACCAGCAGTCTGTGTAGGAGCAGACTGCCTCTCCCTGCTGAGCCCAGCCGCGTGCTGTGCCCACAAGGCTCCTTGCAGTAAATGTCCTGGGATGCTAACAGGCAGAGAGAGCAGTGAGAGATTCTACCTCTTTCTTCCTTAGACTTTCTTTTACTATCTGGATTTCCTCTATCATCCAAATTCAGTATTTTTAGAAAAGGGTTGACTTACGCTGGTCCGTAGTTGCATATAAAATGCGCTCCATTGGAAAGCTTTTCAAAACCAGAGACCCTAGGACAGAACTGTACAGCACAGCCAACTTTGTAGCTATTTGCCCAAACAACCTGAAAGAAAGATACAGAATTTTATTTCACAGGGGAACAATGAAGTATATGGTAAGTGTGATTAAGCCTGCACCGCCAGGGTGCGGCACATCGCACACTGCAGCCACGCAGCCTGGTCAGGAGTGTAATGCCAGCAGCAGAGTTCTAGGGGAGCGAATTCAGTCAGAAACCAGTCCTGAGCTTATTACCAGTAGGGGTTGGGCAAAACAAACAGTAACTATGCGCTCTGAACAGCACAGTGAAGAAACGGAGCAGGGTAATGTGACTGCGGGTGACTGGTGGGGAACATGGGACTGCTGGGTATGTGGGCGGTCAGTGAAGGCCTTTGTGAGGAGGAGCTCTTGGAGCTGAGGAGCAAAGCAGGCGGCGGTACTCCTGTGACTCTTCAGCAGACAGACATCAGCAATGGGGGAGCGTATTCCACACCAAGGGGTCCCCAGGGCCAAAGGCTGGAGGGGACATCTTTTCTGTGGCAAGGTGGAGTGACGGTAGGTTAGTAGACCTGGGCTCTGATGAGTTGGAGAGAGTTGCAGGTGTTCTAGATAAGTGATGTGATCTGTTCGCTTTCCAGTTTCACTTTAGCAACTAAAGGCTAAGGAGGTCTCTGGCACTGTGACCTAAGGATTGGCCTCTAGAACCCCCAGAGTGCTAACACCGAAGAAAAGCGTGGTGATTCCGATCCATGAAGGTAACAGCTAAGGGAACCCTACAGAGCAATTCTATTCTGTAACACGGGGGCACTGTGAGGTGGAGGCCGCTCAATCTCAGTGGTTTCTTTCTTTCTTTCTTAATTAAGAGAGAAATAAACTGAGGGGACAGGGGAAGAAAGAGATCAGCCATTTTGGAGTCTGTTTCCCTGGTGCCAGGATAGTAACTTGGCTGATGGCAGTGGAGTTCCTGAGAGTTGATCAGAGTCATGATAAAGGTTGATTGATAAAGTCATGATAAAGAGAGAAAGTGGAAGGGCTTTGTTTGTTTTGTTTTGTTTTGGGTGTGCACTGAGAGGGGAGACCGGGACTCTTAGGGGTGGGGCCTGACTAATAGTTACTGAGATGGGAAACACCAGGGAAGGCGCAGGGTGAGTGGGAGCCTAGGGTTCAGAGGTCAGTTCTGTCAGGAGACGTTACTCTTGAGACGTGTCTTAATTGTTGTCATCTGGATACCTGGCCACATAGTGGGCTGTGCATTGAGCTGTTTGAAACTGCCAACTGACCTGATGGAGAAAGATGAGGCTTTCTTTTCCCATAGAGATTTAAAGTCTCAAAAATGCACAGAGGCAGTTCTATTCTGTCCTATAGGGTCTATATGAGTTAGAATTCACTCAATGGCAGTGAGTTTAGTAGTCCTGTACCGTGCCTCATCCGTCAGTTTGTTGAACTGTGGTGACTATATGTTGCTAGGAGCCACGTCACAGATATTTCAAATAATAGCAAGGTGTGGTGCTTAGGTTTTATGTGACCTTGCATGTAGATGAAAGTAGAGGGTTGTAGAGTCCAACCTATCAATCAGGTCACAGCCTGATGATGCCTCCTTGGTCCTTTTTATAAGAGCCACATAGGGAGTCTCTCTGCCTTTCTTGCTTGGATTCGCTTATCTGCCTCCAGGGGTGGCCTGATGTGGGCCAGTGACCCTGGTTGCTGTCAGCATCCTGCCATATTCCCATCAACCTTGGATCCCCTGACTGCACCCACCAGCCTGTGATCTTTCCACCTCTGCTATCGGCCCGCAGCGATGCGAGGCTGAAGAGGGCTCTGGATGGCGTCGGACCCGTGGGCTTGAGTTAAATGGGGCTGGGATGCCTTCTTGAGATAAAATTACTTCTTGATATCAAGTTCTTTCATATATATATATATATATACACACACACATACACATACATACATACATATATATATATGTATGTATATATATGTCACTCATGAAGGATGTGCTTCAGCTGATCTTCCAGACTAGGATAGTAGGTTGCCTGGCAACCTACTGCCAAAAATGAGCCAATGAACATGCAGGCTTTGTTCTGGTCCTTGAGGAGGACATCGGGTTTGGTGAAGTCAAGGGCTAGTGAGGGCAAGGCAATCCCTCAGTGCGATGGTTTGGTGTGACCGCCACAGTCAGGGCCTCCCACATGCTGGCAATCATACCAATCACCATGCAGGCCCAGAACAGACTTCGTTCTGTTGTGCAGAAAGGTTACTGTCAATCAGCACTGACTTGAATACAGGTAATCTGGCCCTCAGCTCGAGATGCAGGTGAAGAGGGCCTTGGTGGCTAGATATGACCACCTGGAGATCAGAGGACAAGTTAGGGCTCACTTTTACTGTCATCAACTCAACACTGCCTCATCCAGAACAGGTTAGAACTTCCCCTTTGTATTAATGAGCACGCAAATCTTTACAGTAGCCGAAAGCTTCATCTTTCTTATTCAAAGTGGCCAGTGCATTCCAATCGCAGCCCTCATGGTTAGCAGCACTACACACAGCCCGTTATGCCCCTGGGGTACCTGTCAGGGCTCGAGAAGGTTAACCCGTGAGACTAAATTGGACCGCATTAGACGAGATGAGATTCCATAGTCAAGGACAATAGAGAATAAAGTGATTGGGAACATGGGCTAATGGAGGAAGGGAACCAGACAAAACATTAAGGAGTGCTAAGTGACTAAGATATAGTCAGTTAACATGGCCCTTCTAGTCTTAATTCATAATGTGACGCATTATCATTCTGCATTCTCTGCCTGTGGCAGAATCCCATTTAGGAGGGTGTTCTTCACTCTACTGATGGGCAGGATTAATGGATAGATGGGGTTAATTCTGACCTTCGTAGAGGGTATGAACCAAATTATACCCTTTGTTTCCTTGGGGGCTTCCTTAGACTCTACTAGGGAATGTGATTTTCCTTGGGGTAGGGTCTGTTCTAGGAACCCCGGGGCAGGCGCGGGGTAGGGTGCTGGCAGTTACTCGAGTGTTGGCCGTAACGCCAGCAGTTCAAAACCTCCAGCTGCTCTGCAGGAGAAACATAGCTTTCTACTCCCATTGGGAGTTACAGTCTCAGAAACCCACAGGAGCAGTTCTGCCCTGCCCTATAGGTTCAATATGAGTTGGAAACAACCCAATGGCAGTGAGTATGGTTTTTTAAAAAATTTGTTTTCATGATTTGATACAAGACAAAACCCCACCTTCGTCCATGCCTTTCCTCGGTAAGTAAGAGCCAGCCATCTCAGAGAGCAATCGCAGAACCATTGGAAAATCATGTTCCAGATCTCTGCTGAAGTGGCAGAGGCCAAACCAGGGACACCAGAGGCAGTGGCGTGGAGAATATGGTACAGAGTAAGAGATTATGGGACAGTGAGCTACAGCGACAGACTGATTCCTGGCCCGTGGAGGAAAAGGCCAAGGCTGATGAGAGGCTGAAGACCAGAAAGACTTGGCTTTTGGCTGAGGACGGTGATGCTGGGTCCATGACTAGCTTTGTGGTTTGCTGATCCTGACTCATGGTAGCCTCTTAATGTCCCCAACAACTCAAACAAACAAACTCACTGCCATAGAATCTACTCCAACCCACAGCTCCCTTATAGGACATAGTAGAACGAACCCCCTAGGTTTCCAAGACTGTAAGACCTTACAGGAGTAGAAATCCTTTCACGGAGTGGCTGGTGATCTTGAACTGCTGACCATGTGGTTAGTAACCCAATATGTAGCCAACTATACCACCAAGGTATAAAAAACCCAGCATGAAGGCGCTCCTATCTGACCTCCACTGGCTTCCCTATTGCAAAGCAAGAATTAGGCATGCATTCCCTGCGTCATCCTTCACCCCCTATTCTGACACCAACTGTTCCCCCCAGGCCATTCTAAATTTACATCTGTGCAGGGTTTGATAATTTGTTGCAATAGCCACACAGCTGACAGGAGATACTCACAAGTAAGGGGGTTTATTAGGGAAGTCAGGATCAGCGAACAGTAAGTAGACAGTCATTGGTTTCCTCAGCAGCAGACAACTGTTCCTCGCCAGTTCTCAGCCTCTCAGGCACGTGTTCGCCCAAATCTCTCCCTACTGCCGGTCTCCCAGTCACATGGTCCTTTGGCCTTCCGCCTGGCACTCCGCCCCACAGTCCCCTAGTCACTGGCCAGATGAGAAGGTACCCCTTGGTCTCAGTGCTGCTTTTCCAAGTCTGTCAAAATCCCCGGTGCACCTAGTCTTGGTGGCCTCTGCCACTTCAGATAGAGATGTTGAACGTGCTGGGGGTGTCTCAAAACATAGCCCATCCTTGCAGTCAAGCAAGTGGTAACAAAACCAGACGAATCCCCTCTATTCGTGTTAGTCCCACCCAGCCATTTGGTGGGAGTTACAGAGCTTTGAGAGAAGAGGCGTATTGAGAAAGTTCTCTCTACCCCACGTGACCCGTAACTTCCCTGATGAACCACCCCCATTGTGAGTATTGTCTGAGTTCTGTGGAGTCGTTGCGATGAAGTCAGAGCCAGAATCCTGCGACAGAAATGGTGGGTCGGAGTAGGTTAAAAAGCAAAGATGGACTCATACAACTCTTACCACAATCCATACACACATCAATTGTGTAAAGCGCATTTGCACATTCATTGCCCTCATCATTCTCAAAACATTTCCTCTCCACTTAAACCCCCGGCACCAGGTCCTCATTTTTGAGCCCCTAATAAAATGATTGGAAAAAAAAAAAGCACAGATGGAGCGGGAAGGCAGGGATTCCAAGTGTGGAGCTCTCCTTGAGTAAGGCCACCTTCCACTCGGATCAGCGGTGGAACCAGGCTGGGCCCAGGGGACCAGCCTGTGCAGGTCGGGACGCCACTGAGAGCTTTATCTTACGGAAAGCCTTTTGAAGCCCCGTTGCTGCTGGTCGACGCTGACTCGTAGTAGCCCAGACTCGGGCGACCCCCCGCGCAGAGTAGAATTATGCTCTATCGCATTTCCAACGGCCGATTTTATGGCAGTCGATGGCCAGGGTTTTTGCTCAAGGCGCCTCTGGGTGAACT